ATTTCACTGTACATAAATTATATTTCAATAAAATGCATTAAATAAAATATATATGTATATGTTAAAATATCAAAAAACAATAATAATGTTTAAAGAACTAAAGGAAGTAGGAGAACAATGTTTCACCAAATAAACAATATCAAGTAAGAGATGAAAATTATAAAAGAGCCCAATCAAAATTTTGAATAACTGAAATGAAAAATTCACTAGCATCTTAGGCTGGGTTCTCTAAAGAAGCAAAACTAGTGAAGCTTATATAGAGAGAGAGATAAATTTATCTCAGGGAAATGGCTCACACAGTTGTAGAGACTGACAAGTCTAAAGTTCGTGAGTCAAACATCAAGCTGGAGGCATCTCTTGACTCATGCAGCCTCAGGGGTTGGCAAACCCAAGATCAGCAGGCAGTATAGCAGGCAGCTAGCTCAGAGGATGATAATCCAAGATTGGCAGGTAGAATGACAGATTGTTGGCTTACAGACTGTGAAGGCAACAATCCCAAGATTGGCAGGCAATATGGCAGGCTCTGGTTCAGCACCAGGAACTAGATGATGATGAGCTGAATTCAGGATTAAAAAAAAAAAGAATCAGATGGACCACATCTGTGGCAAGAGGGAATGGAGAAGCTCAATATCTTCATCAAGAACAAGGCCAGGAGTTGATTGTGGAAGAGACCATCAATTGCTCATATACAAGTTCAAGTTGAAGCTGAAAACAATTAAAACAAGTCCACAAGAGCCAAAATATGACCTTGATTATATCCCAGCTGAATTTAGAGACTATCTGAAGAATAGATTTGATGCACTGAACACCAATGACTGAAAACCAGAAGAACTGTGGGATGACATCAAGAACATAATACAGGAAGTAAGCAAGAGGTCATTAAAAAGACAGGAAAGGAAGAAAAGACCAAAATGGATATCAGAAGAGACTCTGAAACTTGCTCTTGAATGGAGAGTAGTTAAAGCAAATGGAAGAAATGACAAGATAGAAGAGTTGAACATAAAACTTCAAAGAGTCACTCAAGAAGACAAGGTCAATGATTATAATGAAATGTGCAAAGACCTGGAATTAGAAAACCAAAAGGAAATAACTGAACAATATTAAAAGAGTCTATAGGCAAAATATTGAATGATTCAGGAAACATTAAAATGGAAGGAATACACAGTCACTGTAGCAAAAAGAATTGCTCAATGTTCATCCATTCCAAGAGGTGACATATGATCAAGAACTAATGGTACTGAAGGAAGAGGTTGAAGGTGCACTGAAGAAATCAGCCAAAAAAAAAAAAAAAAAAGACTCTAGGAATTGGCAAGATACCCATTGAGATGTTTAAAAAACAGATGTTGTGCTGGAGGTACTCACTTGTCTATGCCAAGAAATTTGGAAGACAGCTACCTGGCCTACTGACTGGGAGAGATCCATATTTGTACCCATTCCAAAGAGAGGTGATCCAACAGAATGTGAAAATTATTGAACAATATCATTAATATCACGTGCAATTAAAATTTTGCTGAAGATAATTAAAAAACAGTTGCAGCAATATATTGACAGAGAAGTTCTGGAAATGCAAGCTGGATTCAGAAGAGGACATGGAAAGGGATATCATTGCTGATGTCAGATGGATCTTGACTGAAAGCAAATAATACCAGAAAGATGTTTACTTGTGTTTTATTGACTGTGCAGAGGCATTCAATTGTGTGGATCATAACAAATTATGGATAACATTGAGAAAAATGGGAATTTCAGAGCACTTAATTGTGGTCCCAAGGGACCTGTACATAGACCAGGAGGCTGTCATTGGAACAGGACAAGGGGATGCTGCATGGTTAGAATCAGGAAGGGAGTGTGTCAGGGTTGTATCCTTTCACCACACTTATGCAATTGTATGCTGAGCAAATAATCTGAGAGCTGGACTATGTGAAGAACACGGCATCAGGATTGGAGGAAGAGTCATTGACAACCTGTGATACGCAGGTGACACAACCTTGCTTCTGAAAGTGAAGATGATTTGAAGCACTTACTGATGAAGATTAAAGGCTACAGTCTGCAGTATAGATTACACCTCAATATAAAGAAAACAAAAGTCCTCACAGCCGGACCAGTAAGCAGCATCACAATAAATGGAGAAAAGACTGAAGTTGTCAAAGATTTCCTATTACTTGGTTCCACAGTCAACACCAATGGATGCAACAGTTAAGAAATCAGACAATGTATTGCACTGGACAAATGTGCTGCAAAAGACCTCTTAAGGTAACTATGGGGAAGAAGTGGGAAGAGAGCTGTTGTATTGTGGCAGATTGCAGTCAATGTCAGGATACTAATTGTATATGAACTGCTGTATGGAAAACGAATTTGCTCTGTAAACTTTCACTCAAATCACAATAAAAATATATATATACTATCCCTATGCATTAAAAAATAAATATACTATCCCTATGCATCAGGAGCTCTGGTAGCATAATGGCTAAAGCACTTGACTGCTAACCAGAAGGCTGGCGGTTCAAACCCACCAGCCACTCCTCAGAAGGAAGGTTGGGCAATCCTACTTCTGTAGTGATACTGCCTCGGAAACCCAAGGAGGGGTCGCTATGAGTCGGGGTCGACTCGACGGCACATAACAACAACAACAACAATCCCTATGCATTGACCCATGTCACTTTAGTTTTGTGTATTTCACATAAATTATATTTCAATAAAATGTATTTAAAAAATACTATGCCCAATATTTTGAAATAAACAGTGTATGAAAAATGAAAAGAACACTTCTTGGCACTAAGATGACTTCCATGAGACTGGGAGAATCTTCTGGTCAATCAGAGTTTTTTTAAGAAACAATCAATACCAACTTGAAATCAGTTCAAACTGGCTCATATTAGTTTTGCCCCCCAGACGTGCGCAGTGAGACAAACAGGAACGGAGTTGCTCAGAACTAACATCTCCCCTCTGCCTAAGCCCCAATCAGCAGATGACAGGAAGTCGGAGTAACTTGACTGGTGCACAAGTGCACTGCATTAAAAATGGACTATCCCTTTAAACCGAGGTGAATGAAACCTCAGCCAGTCTCCAGCTAATTCATGCCCAAATTCCTGAAATTTATATGAATATGTAATGACCCCTTTCCTGAACTTTACAAAAGCTGTGCCCCAACCCCAACTTGGGGAGTCAGATTTGAATAATGGCCCCTGGCCCCTGTCTCCTTACCATGCACATGGTAATAAATCTTTCTTATCTCTCAAGTTAAAAAAAAAAAAAAAGACCTCTTTAAAGTGCTGAAGGCCAAAGATGTCTCTGGAGAGTAAGATGTCCCTAACCCAAACCATGTTATTTTCAATTGCCTCATATGCAAAGCTGGACAATGAATAAGAAAGACCAAAGAAGAGTTGATGCTTTTGAGTTGTGGTGTTGGAAGAATACTGAAAGTACCATGGACTGCCAGGAGAATGAACAAATCTGTCCTGAAAGAAGTGCAGCTGGAATGCTCCTTGGAAGCAAGAATGGCCAGATTTCGTCTCACCTACTTTGGTCAGGTTGTCAGAAGGGACCATTCCCTGGAGAAGGATGTCATGCTTGGTAAGGTCAACAAAAGAGGGGAAGGCCCTCAATGACGTGGATTGACACGGTGGCTGAAACAATGGAGTCAGGTATAGCAAGGATGTGAGGTTGGTGCAGGACTGAACAGTGTTTCATTCTGTTGTACACTGGGCCACTATGAATTAGAGCCAACTCGACAACACCTAACAACAACATATGATTCTATACTATACCATGTTTTAATATATTATGCTGTATTTCACTCTACAATGTTGTACCATATTATATCATTCTATACATTCTGTGCTATTCTATACTTTGCCATACCATGCCATATCATTTATTATTCTTCACTGTTTCACTATAACACACTATACCACCTTCCTTATTCACTACCCTCCTGTTCACAGTATGTGGTCTGAGGACTAGCAGGATCTGTATCACCTGGGAACTCCACAGAAATACAGAATCTCACCTTGACCTACTGAATCAGAATCTGCATTCAAATGTATGTTAAAATTTGAGAGACACTGCCAGGGTTTCTTTTACTCTGCCTGGGGCAGTAAAGACTGGTATTTAGTACACACACTCAAGAACCACACTGCCTTAGGTTCATATCTCAGCTCTGCCATTTACTTGAGCCAAATAACCTCATCTTACTGTGCCTTGGTTTCCTCATTTGTAAAATTACCCCTGTTTCATAGAATTATCATCAGGATTAAATGTGTTGTTATACAGGAAGCCCTTGGAACAACCCCTGGCCCAAATAAGCACTATCTAAAGGTTATCCATCCTGAGTACACTGTGGTTGTGCAATAGAATCCTATCCCTCATGGGTAGATGGTGGAGTTTTCCACAGAGACATATTCTGGTCAATCACCCCTTGAAAGGCAAGTCTTGGGAAAAGGAAGAGCAAACCCAGACTGTCAGAAGGAACCTCTGTCTCTGGGCCTTGCTGTTTTGGATAAATGCTAGAGGAGACAAAACAAGATTGAGGATGACCTTGGCCATAGGGAGGCAGACTGGCAACAAAGTAGGGAGGTCCCTGCACTGAGAATCAGGCACTGAGCCTGTGTTCTATTCCATAAAAGACACAGTATAACTGATATTATTCTCTGCTTCTATTTCCCTTTTGATGTGCCCAAGCCTTCAGTTATGTTTACACATTCCCACCTGGCTTCATCTATGCCACAGGAATAAAGGAAAGAATTGTGAGACCTTTTCTAGAGACACAGTTCTGAGAAGGCTCAGCCTTCTCTGGAGGCAAGAGTGGTGAAAGGCACAGGATGGTTAAAAGGATCCCCAAGGAGGAAGTGAATGACAGAGTTAGTTCAGTTCAATTGTCATCCCCACAAGTGATCTTCCCTTCCTTGCCCAGCTAGAAGGACCAGAATTTGTTCTATGAATAGAGCCAACAGGGTCCCCTACAATGGGCACATGAATCAAAAAGCAACTCCTCTGTCACTCACCTTGTGGGGTACAGACCTGATAAAGAATTGTCTTCTCCAGATTCTGAAGGGACTCAAAATTTTCTCCATAGTACACTTTGTCCTGGTCATTAGTAATCTCCAAAAGGTGAGACTTTTTGGCTTCCCCCACCCCAATGGCAAAAATAATTATGTTTCTGTCCCTGAGGGCCTTGGCTGGTATTTCTACGTTATCCTTCGCAACCCCATCGGTGATCACAATCAAATACTGATGAACACTGGATCTCCCTCCTCTTGAGCTGTCAAAAAAAGGCAGAGTAAAATTCAGGGCTTTCCCAGTGCGGGTGCCATCGTTTATCTGCTGAACAATCGAGATGGCTCTGCGAATGTCCACCTTCGAATAGTATTGGTTGAGCATGAATTCTTCCTGAGGTTCTGAGCTGAACTGCAAAAGGCCAATCTGAACATCATCAGGACTAATATTAGATATGTTCACCATTCTCTCCACGAATCCCTTCATCTTGTCAAAGTCTTTTGAGGAGATGCTTTCTGAACCATCTATCAGGAAGATAATATCTGCTTTCTTATCCTTACAGACTGGGGAGAAGAAGAAGCAGAAGAGAACATTCATTCAGAGTCTGAATCCAATTCATTACAAGTTCCAGGGACAGGCTAGGGTGGCATATGAACAGCATAAAAATACTTTTAAAGGGCTGGAAGAAGAAATCAGTTAAATAAATTTTTTATGACCCAGCACAGATCCATCTCAAAATAAGACACAGCTGTGTGATAAGTATATAAAATTTGTCTGGCTTGGTTCATTCTAAGTCATGGTCTCTCTGAGTATGACACTTTCTGAGCAGTGGACTCACATTTTAAGTATGAAGTTTATTCAGCTAGATTAGACACATGTACTTGTAATGAGACCACAAGATAGAGAGAAAGAAAGACAGAGAGAGCTGTTGAAGAAAAAAATTCTTCAAAGTTTATTAGGGGCGGGCAGAAGGGAGGGAGAAAAGAAAGGAAGACACAACACTTAGGGGACACTGAGCTTCTGTTAAGGGTGATGGAAAAATTTGGGAATAGTTAATGATGATGGTTGCACATGATGCACATATTTAATGTCACTAAACTGTACATTTAAAGTTGTAGAAATGGCAAATGTTTTGTTACCACAACTTAAAAACAAACAAACTTACTCTCTGAGGAGCAGATGTCCTGTACCACTTCTTGTTGGATGACCTTCAAAGAATCAAACTCATTAATGAAAAAAATCCTGTCTTTAGCAATTTTTCTAAGCTCATCCATGTTAGCATCCCGTACTCCAATCACATAGATGATGACATCACCTCCCCTCAAGGCCTCTGCCGCCTCAGCCACTGGGTCATCAGATTTCCCACCAGTGATGACTATGAGATGTCGAGGTACATTGCCACGGGCAGTGTTTGCAAAGATTTGCTTCATATCATTCAAGGCCTGACCTGTGTTGGTATCACCTCCCATCTGCTGGATGCCATCAATGGCTACCTTCAGCCCTGCCACACTGGGATACTGGCTGAGGATAAACTGACTCTGTGTTTTATATGAGTATTGAACGACTCCAAACTGTACTTTGTTAGGCCCAATCTGGAACATATTTATCATCTCCTTCATGAACACCTTCATTTCAAGAAAATCTTCATGTGGGATGCTGCCAGAACCATCAATGAGGAAGTATATATCTGCCTTCTCAATATGCACACAACCTAGGAAATAAGAAGAAGAAACAACCCAATGCATTAGAGCATTTAAGACAGGATGTAGCCAGAGCCACTAGTACCAATTCCAACCCATGTTTCCTTAGTGCTGGTTGTTCCCTATGAAGCCAACAGCTTTCTACTGAAAGCCCCTGTAAGTATGACTGAGTGTTCTTTGACCAAGAGCATGATCAGCTTCCACAATGAGCAGGCAAGAATGACTGGAAGTCAATCCAGAAGGAGTCACCAATAGCTGACAGGGGTTGGTGGATAAATAAAGAGCAAGCTCCTTTGCTCTTTTGATGGGACAATTCTGACATGACTTCTACATAGTCTGTCTAATGGCACCAGCAGAATTAAGCCCCAGTTGTTTACAGCAATAACCTGCTCTTGAATTCACCCTGCATTGTCTTCCTTCCTTTCTCTTTCTGGGGTCACCTACCAAATAAATAATTTGCATCCACATCCTTACTTTAGAATATGTTTCTGGTAAATCTTACTTAAGACATGAAATAAATATATTTAATATTGCTCACATGAAGATGTTGAAAACAAACTGAAAGTAAAAAGCGTATTTCAGAGCGTATTTGGAACTACGAATTGCTTCAGTATATATCATTCCTGCTTCCCAAGCCAAGTAGAACTTTTTAAATATGTGGACAAAAGAGTGCACTTTCTGAAATTCAAAACTTCCTGTTTTAAAATGGGTCTTACATAAACAAATCACTTCATAGTAAGGTCTAGACTCCAAAGGGCAAAATGGCTCTTAGTTTCAATCCTGTCTCCACCCCTTACTAGCTGCCAGACCTAAGGCCCATGACTTAGCTTCTTTGCATCTCAGTTTCCTAATCTGTTAAATGAAGACCTTAAAACCTATTTAATAAGCTTATTGCAAGGATTAAATAAGATCTTACACACACACCACAGCTGAGTATTAAAAAGTAAAGGTTAAGATTAACCAGTGTGGTATTTTTCACATCTAACAGATTTCTCAGAAAAAATGATTATCTCTTCACTCCTTTCAGTAATGACAGCCCAGTCTTGTATTCTTAATCTCTGGATTACCTTGTTCTAGGGAAGAATTAAGAGCCTTTGCATGCTTCCTGGCTGAATGGGAAGTGATCTACGGTGGGAGTTGGGCTTCCCTGTTCAGGCCTGTATTTGGGAGGCCCTAAATCATGCAATATTTGGGACATATGCATACCAAAAAAAAAAAAAAAAATGTGTTAGTCTGAATGAAATTCCAATATAACTGGTGTCCTATATTTTATTTGGCAGCTCTATCCTAGAGCGGCAGACATTGGAAGAAGGTGTGGCTTGGAGGGGCCCAGGGAGAAGTGATCTGCCCCAAAGTTAAGTGTTACTGAATCCTTAGAGATTGAAGAGGAAAAATAAATAAATAAATACAGAACCAGAAGGCAGAAACTTGGACCTTGCTGGACCCCAACACCCACCAGTAATAGGGCCTGGGAGGTGGATGGGGCCTGGATGGGGCCTGATGTCTGAGGAAAGGACCACTGTGAGAGGAGGGTCTGAGGACAGGATCTCCATGGGGGCAAGGTTTGAGGAAGGGCCATTGTGAGGGTGGATCAGAGAAAAGACTGCTGTGAGGGAGAGGTCTAAGGACAGAACTCCTGTAAGGGGACAGTCATCTCTATAGTCAGCCCAATGGAGCAATGTCCCAAGAGTCTCCACCGCAGTCCAGGCCCTTTGTGCTGTCCAGAGGGGCTGAGGGCCCTGAACATGCCTGGCATGGTGCATTCTTGCCACTCTTGGCAAGTGATGGTTTGGGGAAGAAAAAAAGGTAGATATCTTACAGTCTGGAAGCCTCCAGACATCCCCATTTATTACATACATGAAATGCTTAGCAAAGTGTCTGGCACATAGGAAATGACCAATAAATGGTAGAAATTGTGATCATTACGATTGTCCAGATTGTCCAGACATGAAATTGCCCCAGTTTCTATTTACCTCTAAACTGCCACTAATCTCTCTAGACTTTGTGATGATTTTCCTGATTCCAGGTTCCTTCTTAACAGCTATGTAATCTGGAGAAGGAACCAACTCTTAAATCTTTATTAAATAAAAGAAAGAAAGAAACTCACTGCCATCAAGTAGAGTCAATTGAGACTCATAGTGACCCCTCCTTGGGTTTCCAAGGCAGTATCACTACAGAAGTAGATCGCCCAATCTTCCTTTCAAGGAGTGGATAGTGGGTTTGAACTGCCAGCCTTCTGGTTAGCAGGCAAATGCCTTAGGCATAGATATTCATAACAGCCAGTAAGTGATACATCTGGGATTTAAAATTCAAGCTGGTTGACTTCAAGTACATAACCACTATGCTCTGTTATGACTTTTTTGTTGTTGTTTTTCAACTGCATATACCAGGAGTTCTCCTAGCTGACCTCTGCTTATCTGATTCTCCAGATAAATTAATGTTCTCCCTTCCTTTCCTCTGTCAGACCTTTTGTCAGATGTCCAGAATATCAATCCCACAATACATGACTGTTTCCCCCCTGGAGGCTTCCCATTTGAACACCATACTCTTACTTCTACATGATTCATTGGAATAATCCACTTTACCACAAGCCAGTTGGGTTTGTTCCCAGCCTATGTATGTCAATTTTGTTACTGTAATTACCTAATTAATCAAATATTGTACAAATCAATAAGACATGAGTGTGGAAAAAAAGAAGCTCATTGCATCTATGGAAACTAGATTAACTGCTTAGAGAGGACACAAAAAGGCTAACTGTTAAAAAAGAAATTGCTGCCTTACTAGGCAGTAAGTACCACAAATGATTCATTTTGGAAATCATAAAAATCAATAAAGACTTCTGTCCTCAGATTATTTCAAAAGTGTCTCAGTTCTCTTCTCACTTTAAAGAAACTGAAACTGGATATTATAGACAATGCACTATTGGATGATTAATGACGAAAAAACACATGTACTCCAAATAGCTCTTACTCAAAGAAGCCTTAGTCCTATGGCAAAAGATTGGCAAGCTAATTTTTATATGTCTTATAAGCATATGTTTTAAGTTAAAACTTTTTAATTTCAAGTACATTTGTATCTCCCTTCTTTTTTTCTATTTTATTATTATTTTTTTAAATAATTTTGTGCCTTAAATGACTTCAGAGTTGCTCATTCCCCACAAGGCTTCTACTCTAAGGATGTACTTATCTTCATACAACTGTTAAGAGGAGGGACAGGTAGGACAGGAGAAGGGAGGAATGTTCACTTTTACTTCCTATTCTTCTATTGTTTGGAATCAAGACAAAATAAAGATTTTTAGAAGTTTTGGTTTTCGGGGTTTTTTTAAATTAATTAAACCAAAAATCTTTCCTTGGAGGGTAACAATGGAGGTAGGTTGATGGAGCAAGCAGATTAAATACTCAAAATTTTTTAAAAAGATCAGTTTTGAGAAAGGCCTTCTTACCTTCTTGTGGTATATTGCTCACTCCAAAGTCTAAATCCATTTTTCCCACAATTTCAGTGCAGAGTTGGTTCTTAATCTTGCTCCTCACAATGGAGAGTTGCAGGAAAGACTCCAGGGAGACCACATGCTTCCAAGGAGGATAGGACGCCATTTTCTCCAGGTCCTTGCTCTCTGAGGCAAGCTGGGTACCCACTGCATAGATGGTAACCCCTGCCCTACGGAGGAGAGAAGCTGGTCTGGACACGTTATCTTGGGAGATGCTTTCTGTGATGACCACAGCTATCTGTTGCACACCTTGCGTGGACCGGCTGCCTTTCTCCTGAATGAAAACCCTGTTCCTTAGGAAATCCAAAGCAGCACCAGTCTTGAGCCTTCCTTCTCTTCCTCTGTAGGTTAATTTATCCAAATGCTCCAAGATTTGGGCTGGATTCTGAAATGTGTTCAGTGAAAACTCATGTTGTGGTTCCTCTCTGTAAAAGACCAAGCCAATTCTCACAGCATCAGGATGGATTCTTAGCAATCTGACAGTGGACTTTAGGAAATTGACAACTTGTTGGAAATTCGCTTGATTAGCCCTGCTAAATTCCTCAACCAGGAATACTAAGTCAGCTGGAACTGCAATTGGACACACTATATATAAACAAAGAAAGAAAGAGACAAAACCAGAAAGAAGGACTTTAGCATGAGAATAGAATAATAAAGATGCTTTTCATTTCAGGCATAAAATTCATGTGATTATATAGTTATGTATATTATAATAATATATTTATTATTATAAATTATAATAACATATTATACTAACTTATATGCATACATTTTAGAATTTAGTGGAAGTCTTTATTTGGGATAAGGGCCAAGGAATATGACAGAGTTCATACCAGCTTCAAAATTTTTCACCTGAAAGAGTAAACACATCACTTATAAAATATGTAAATATTTGAATATTCACAATAAATCATTTTAAGATCACTTTTCAATTTATCTCAGTTCTTGACTCCATTTTTCTAGTTGCAGGCAATCCTTGATCAAATTCTCTTGGCACTTCATTACAGTCATCATTGATTTAATAATTTTCCCCTTCTTGGTAAAAGATGGAAATGACAAATTGTGACTATTCACTTGTACATATTTTTCTGATAAGTTTTATGTCATATCAGCTGGGGGAGCATGAAATATTTCAAGTTCTTATGAAAAATCTTTGTCCATATATTGAGCTAGCTGACTTTGTCATTTTGCTATAAAAGAACCTTCCCTTTAACCTGCCTCAAAAGGGGTAATGGAGTTATGACTGAATGAACTCCCAGCCAAAAGATAGTCAGAACAGTTTTCCCTTCCTCAAGGCGGTGCCTAATGCAGGGAACCTATTGTGTCCACAAACCAAAAAGATCCAGACCTGCTTTGATATGAAAAAAAATCTCCCACGCAGAGAGCCAAAACCACATATGCAGAGAGCTGAAAGCAGTGTGTAAATAAGCTTCAGAGAAGAGAATACAGTGGCAGCAGAATTCGTAACAGTTTAACTTATCTCTAGGTCTCTTGATGTCCTGGGACTTTCCCCTTGTTCCTTTTCCTTTTTTTATAAAGAGCCAGAAATTAATGCTAGGTTAAAAAAGGGGGGATCCCCCAACTTTGGCACGTCTAAAACACCTTCCCTAGAAACTCCAAGCATCTTTGACTTCTCCCTTCCTTCATATGCCAGCACCAAGTGCTGTAATTCTCCTTTCAAACTGTCTCCAGGATTCAACCCCTTTCTTGATTTTCTGAGCCACCATTGGGCTGGGCCAGTCATCCTTCCCATTTGGACCTATGTCTTCCTGAATTTGAGGTCCCATCCAGTATCTATCCTGCTCACTGAAGGCTTCCTTAAAGATTGCTTTGGTCATGCTATTTTTCTTCCTCCGAAGCCCTTGGTCACTTCCCCAAGAATCAGAAACCATATTATCTAATCCAAACTCATCCCTCACTGCTCTTCAACCCTCTCCCACCCCATTTCAATGAGATTAGCGTTTTACTTTTCTCTACTCTCATGCAGCTCGTTTCCCCTCCCTCACACCTAACCCTTGCTGTTCCCCTTGCCAGGAATGCTCTCCTCCCTTCTCCCTGTACGTTAAAATCACACCATTAAAGGACCAGCACAACTAATCCTAGGTCACCTTCTCCAGGATGCCCTTCTTTTCTATTTGTCCATATTACCTGTGCTTGGATTTTCTTTTTCTTGTTCCCAATTGTGTCCATCTTGTCTGCCCATAAAATTGCAATGACCCCTCTCCCCAAACTCTGGAAGTTGAGAGGTCTGGGCAGAGTTGTGACAATTCAAAGAAAAGAATACTAATCATTTCCAGTTAGGGGTGTCAAGGGAGGTTTCACCAAAAGGTAATTTCAGAAACAAATGATAGAGTTTAGACTGTGGGCAGTCCAGGCTGGTATAGTGTGTTCAGTGGTGAGCCAGAGATATAGGAGAGCTGACATATATATAGCAAATGGTGAGTAGTTCAGCTTCACTGCAATGTTGAATGCATAAAGGGATTTAGCGTGAAATAAGGTTCAGTGGTTCTTGACCAACAGTGGTCCCCACCCCCAGAGTACATTTGAAAAATATAAGTGGGGGATGGTATATTGTCACAATGATTACAGAATGCTACCGACAGGGACTAGGGACACAAAACTGCCTGCAATACACAGAAAATCCTACACCATGAATTGCCCCACTCAAATGCCAACAGCATCTTCACTGAGCATCTTGAGTGCCAATCCAAGGACTGTATTCAGTCTCTGGGGAGAATTCCAAATGCTACTCCTTTACTTGAAAGAGGTATATGGTAGATGGGATTATTTTTCAGAAATTTACTCCCTATATCTCAGTTCCATGGGAGGAGTATACTTTATACTCCACTAATGTTGCCCAAGGAGCTCTGGTAGTATAGTGCCTAAGGCACTTGACTGCTAACCAGAAGGCTAGCAGTTCAAACCCACCAGCTACTCCTCAGAGGAAGATTAAGCAATCTACTTCTGCAGTGATACTGCCTCGGAAATCCAAGGAGGGGTCACTATGAGTCAGATCCAACTCGATGGCAGTGAGTTTTTGAGTAATGTTGGCCATTTGACTTGCTCCGGGGAATGGAATGTAACCAGACACAATGTGAAGGAGGTCTGAAAAGTGGTTGTGTGGTTGGATTCCCTCTTTCGCACCTCTGCCATTACTACAGAGAGAATATGCCCATGCTAACTTGATGATCCAGGATTATCACAGCCAAACTGAGATCAGCCAACCCCCAGCCAAACCCTGAATGCATAAATAGGCCAGCCAAGATCATCAAAACTATTCATCTGAGCCCAGCCAAGACTGGCTGACTCTCAGCAGATTGGTGAGAATAAATGAATTGAATTTTGGAATGGTTTGTTATTCACCATCATTGTATTCACAATTAATTAATTCAAAGTGTGTGCCTAAAGCAGCCCCATGCCTTCTCTTCCCCATCCACTGGTGCCAGTGCCCCAGTACTTGTTGTTGTTGTTATTTGCCATCGAGTCGGCCCCGACTCATAGCGACCCCTCCTTGGGTTTCCAAGGCAGTTATCACTACGGAAGTAGGATTGCC